TCAAATCCTTTGAGTCCTTCAAATTTTAGGCCAATTAGCCTTTGTAACTCTATCTATAAAGTGGCGGCTAAAGTTATTATTAATAGGCTCATTTTGATTATTCCCAAAGTCATTTCAGAGGAGCAAGCAGCATTCATCCAAGGGAGATCTATCTCAGATCATGTTTTAATTGCTCAAGAGGTGTTTCACAAATTCAGGTTTTCTAATTCTACTAAAGGGTTAGTAGCTTACAAAAACTGATATGGAACAAGCTTTTGACTCAATGAGTTGGGATACTCTTGAAGGAGTCTTGAAATACTTTGAATTCCCTCCATTATTCTCCAAATTAATTCTAGAATGTGTGTTAAATCCAAGGTTTTCAATTATCATTAACGGGAGCCAATCGGAATGGATTTCAGCCATGAGTGGTTTCCGACAAGGCTGCCCATTGTCCCCATTTCTTTATATTTTGTTCTCCCAACTTCTTTCAAATGCACTTGATTTGACTTCTATTGGAGTTAACATATCTACTTATGGACCTCAGATTTCACACTTGCTATACACAGATAATTTTTTGTTATATTCGGATGCAAGTAAGAAAGTGGCTTTGGAGGTGAAAAGAATCCTTTCCAATTTCAGCAATTGGACTAGACAATGTATTAATATGGGAAAATCTGGAATTTTATTTAGGAAGTTGGTAGATAGAAGGAGGAGGAAGGCTATTACTAGAACTTTGGGAATCAAGGAAGTAAAAGAATTCACATACCTTGGGATCAAAATGGCACTCAGAAGATTAAAGGCTATTGATTATCAATTCATTATTGAGAAATCATTAAAGAAAATCAACTCGTGGGGAAGCAAGCTCCTATCCTTTGCTGGGAAGATTGCTCTAGTATTGTCGGTTAGTTTGGCTATCCCTACTTTCTATAGTACTCACTCATTGGTCCCTATTAGTATTCTTGAACAAATTAACAAAATATGCAGATGTTTTATTTCGAATAAGCCCAATGGTGAAATTGGCATTCATTATGTAAAATGGGAGGATTTATGCAAACTAGTAAACAAAGGAGGAAGGGGATTGTGCTCACCTACCTCCAAAGTGGCTGAATTCAGAGCAAGACTCACATGGAGATTTTTGAATAAAAAATATTCTTTATTCAAATTATTCGCTCCAAAATATGGTTCCAATATTGTTGATGATAATTTGAAGAGGAACGTTTCTTCCTCTTGGAAAATCATAACTGATGGAGGTAAAGCTCTTCAACCATTCCTGAAATGGAGTGTGGTAAATGGGTCATCTATTTAAGTATTTGAAGATAAGTGGCTGCTTGATAGAAGCTTAAATGAATGGCCTTCTTTTATTATTCCTCAAGGAGAAGAACCAGTTTTGCTGAGTGGTTCATTGAAGATAAGGAAGGGAATGTGGCTGAATTGAGGAAAGTATTTGGTAGTGAAATGGTTAAACTCATTTTACAAACAGATATAAGGAGTGAGCAATGGGAGGATAAACAAGAGTGGATCAACAAGGGAACGGGGAGATCAATTTCTGGTATGATTGTTGATTCTAGATTTTAAAACCTGCCAGAATGTAAATACTCTAAATGGATGAAGAAAGATAATCTAAGCCCAAGAGTGGAAATCTTTTGCTGGAGATTATTTAAGGAAGCTAAAACAACTTACCATTATCTGGTTCGTAGAAGATTTCAAGGAAATGAAGTATGTCCAAGGTGCATGGATGACATTGAAGATATGGAACATATTCTTTGCAAATGCTCCAAGATTAAGGAGGTGTTCTCTCAAATAAACTAATGGGGCTTTGGGATTCCTTTCTTTGATAACTTACAAGATTGTTGCAGTTGGATGGACCATATAGCAGCTCATAATGGTATGATTCTCAATTTGTTCTTCAATGTCTTATTTTTTTCTTGGAAAGTTAGAAACAAATTTACACATGACAAAGTGGTTGATGGTGCTATCTCGGTGGCTGCTAATGCAGTTTGCTATTCTTCTATATCTAAATTGATTGTTAATAATAATTCGGATCAATGGGATGTTAACCAGCCTCCAAGGCTATTCAAAACTTGGCATCCCCTCCACCCAAATGGTTAAAAATCAATGTAGATGCTTCTATTGATAATTCCTATAAAGCTGGTATTAGAGGTGTCATATGTGATTCTTATTGGCATTTGGAAAAAAATACATTCATTGGGATGTATTCCATTTGGAGCTTCTAGTAATAAAATCTTTGAAAGAAATCATTAATGATTGGATGTTCAAATACAAGGGAGCTATCATTGAAGGGGATAATGCAAATGTTATTATAAGGCTTCAAAAGGAAAGGATTAATGGATTCAAGGATGAGGAAGACTTTGATTTCCTTTCAGAGTTTAATTTTGTTATTTTCTCTTGTGTTGATAGGAGTAGAAACAGGTTGGCCGATTGGTGTGCTAAGTATGCCTCGGCTAACAATTTTATTTGGGAAGAACTTTGCTTGAATATGATTCCTTCTTAATTTGTAAAGTTATTGAAGGAGGAATCGACCCTGTAGTCTTTTCTTTTTGCTTACTTTGCTTTTAATGCATTAATTTCTCTTTTCAAAAAAAAAAAAAAAAAACAGTTGTTTCTCTTCATTGATAAAATATGGACCTTGGAAGTTACAACAATAGCATCGTGATGCTGTTGCAATTTGAGTGCTACAACACCTGAGTGCAAAAAATATCACCAATGAGTGAGAAATTATGACACCAAGGCATTGTAAAATAGAGAATCTAACATTTCCAGAATGACTTCTTGATGCCGTGGTGCTAGTAATGTTTCAACATTGGCTTGAAATTGGTGCTATGATGTCCAATTTGTAGCGCCTTGGAGGCATCGAAGGTGGTGCTATGTCATTATTTCATCGGATGCTATAGAACTGTAAGCTCCACAAAATTTTTTTATCATTTTTGAGTTTTTTTTAAATATACACAACTAAAATAACATATTTTCACCAAAATAAAATATATAAAATACTATATAATTTATACTTATCAAATTCATCCCAGCTTAAACTATTATTTGGCTTCAAGAAAATAAAGAAATATGTAATTTTAATTAATTAAATAGGAAAAATAAAAACTGATAATTTAAAATTACTAAAATATAAAATAATATACCATTGCCTAAAATTATTAAAAATGGATAAAGTCATAATTCTAATTTGAAGCAATTACTAATAATTATCCAAACCTATCACCGTTATTATTGCTTAAATTGAATTTTTATGTCATGAATAAAATAATTGACTTTTGAATTCTGAATTGAATAATGCAGCTTTAAAGATTAGATGCATTTGTAGTTAAAATTGGAATTTTCTTTGTTCACCAACTTTTGTACTAGTTCTCCTATATTATCTTTTATGAATTTATGTATAATATTATAGTCAAATTTTAAGCATATATTTGATACCAATTTTGAATGCACTCTTTTTATTTTCTTCCTTTCTTTTTCTTTTAATTTTAAAACTCTTTTCACATTTATTTCCTTTTTATTTTTGCTAGAGTATATAGTTAATGATTTTGAATATCATTTTTCCTTAAAATCTTCTTACAATCTTAATCAGTTTAATGTAAAATTTGAATAAGAATACTAGTACTAAATTTAGGTTGCTATTATTTTAATTTTAACCTACCCATATTTATTTTTTAACCTTAATTATTCACCTTCAATAGAAAAGGTCAATGTATAAATTCATAACTTATAAATAAAAGGTCAATGTATAAATTTATAACTTATAAATTAAAGTTACGTCAATAATTTAAACGATATAGGTAAGGTAATTATTAGGTTTTTTAATCTATGAATTATAAAGCAATGCTCATATTATTATCATAATTTTATATAATTTTTAATTAACATTTTCTAATATGGTAAAGTAAATAATCAGAATGCAATAATTTTAATGGAAGACAACGTAAAAATGTAATTATATGGAGAATTTAATCAAATTTAAATAAATGCACACATGAACATTAATAAATTCACATATTTTCATATGAATGATAAAAATGTTATATATATATATATATATATATATATATATATATATAACTAGAACACATGGTACAAGGTAACTGGTGCTTAAGACACTACTCCAATCATCACAATAAGATAACTAAAGATACAAGTTGGTTGTCTCCCATAAGTGCTAAGTTTATAGTTTTGAACTTGACTATACCAAGATTTGTCTACTTAGCTGGGGTACATTGCAACCATTCTTTAAATGATTTTCTCTAGATCTTTTTTTTTTCTTTGGGTTAACTTTAGCATTAATAGGTAATAATCAAATAGGTTTACTACTGACTTAAGTTATAAGTTAACTTAATTGAGTTTACAAATTGTAATTAAAGCTGCTTATTTTGTAATTTAGTCCTTAACTACATCGCTACATCTTCCAATGATGATTTTTTTATTTCAAATTTGATTACTTTGATTAAATCCTTGAATATATGTAGGTTTAGGATTAACAGTAAATTGTTGAGGATTATTCAAATTTACTGTTTGATTATTTTGACTAGAATTTAATTAATTGTTGCTAGCAATATTATTTAACAAAATAAAATTAGGATGGTTCATCCAACCTATTATTTGTCTTAAAGTATGTATTATTTTGTATTTCAATTAAATAAATATTTTTAATCTCTTGCACTTTACTCTTTTTAATTTAATTTTGATCCTCCAATTAAATAGATGTTTCAATTCCTAATTCTAAATTTACTCTTATTATGCTTAAATTCTTGGTAATTGATGCAACTTATACAATAAACATTTACAAAATATTAAATTTATATATTTTTGCTACTCTCTTAGGATTTAGCCTATCAGCAGGCCACTAAAAACTATTTATAATCATTTTCTCTATTAATTCATATGCTTTCTTATATGGCTTAGATATTAATGATCCTTTAGCTACATCATCTATGATTATTTTATAAGATTCTACTAATTAATTTTTAAATATTTGAATAATCAACTAATTAGGTAAAGTATGGTGAGGACATTTCCTATCATTTCCTTAAATCTCTCCTAACTGCCATAAATTAATTCTCCTTCAAAATGTGTAAAAGAAGTGATATGGTTTCTAAGTTTGGCAATCTTTGAAAGTGAAAAATACTTAGCCAGAAACTTATGTGCCAACTCATCCCAAGTGGTTATAGAACCTTGGGGTAAAGAATTCAACAACTTCTTAGCTTTTTTACAAATGAGACTTTTAATTCTAAAAATAATTTAGAGTATAGGCATCCCTAGATCTTTATCTAGCTTATAAGGGTGAAAAGGATATCTACTGACCTCTTATAGATTTAATATCTCCTTAAGAACCAAGAATATTATGCATCCTATGTGTAGGTATGCAGGCATTCTATCTCAATATTTTTAGTTCCTGCATTCCTCAATTGAGGCTATTCATCACACTACATTTTAACTACACATATAATCACCGTGTCCATTAAATTAAGAACAAGTTATTATTAAAAACATTATTTAACATTTATAGAATAAGAATTTTCATTATTTCTTTATATGTACTTTACATCATCAATCCAAAATAACAGAATTAGCTAGTCATATAATAAATAACATGCAAACTCATTTTCATTAAACTCATGGAAGAATGAAAATACAATAGAGTAATATCACCATAAAGAATTAAAGTATCTCCTCCACACTCCTTCCTTAACTTACAAAGTAGCTTAAAATTACATGCTAAATACCTCAAATAATTATATCTTATACTTCCCTAACCTCCCTTAGATTTTACTCTAAGAGGGAACTAAAGAAGTATTATAAGAAATACTAAATTTATACAAGTGATTAAACTCCCTGTAAAACATAATACCATAGCTATTTATAGGGTAAAAAATAAGGCATATGGTGCTTGAATGAGTAGCACCGTGGCTCCCATGAAATGAACTAATGCATCAAAGCTGAAACATTTGCATCATTATGGTGCTTGTTGATGTGGATCAGTTATTTAGCTGGCAGTTATATCTCTTTACAGATAGAGTGTAGCCCTTAGAAGTTAAAACTACAAATTTGAGGTGCTATTAACATTCAAGTGCTATGGTTCTCAAGATTAAAAAATGGTGCCAAGGATTGAGAAATTATAGAACCATAATATTTAAAAATAGAGTATTTGGCACTACAAAGCCGACTTCTTAACACCGTGGCACTAGTAATGTTGTGGTGCTAACTTTTTTTATGCTTCAATGCTTGCAAATAGAGAACTTGGCATTCTGATATCCAATTTATGGCTCCTCAGTAGTACTGAAGGTGACATGTATTGTGGCATTGTTTAATCAGATGCTGCAGCGCTATAAGCTCATTGGAATTTTTTTTTATGATTTTTTAGTTTTTTCTAAACAAATATTACAAAAATAACACATTTTCAATGAAAATAAAATATTTAAAATGCTATATAATTTACATGTATCACTTTACTCATTTAAAAAAATAAAAGAAGTATAAACCCTTCTATAAGACTAGAATAAAGACCATTAGTTATTCTATCTAAAGGCCTATTGCTTGGTCTAATCCTCCCTCAACTAACACTCAGACAAAAAGAATAAAGCTAAGTCCACCATTTAAAAAAATAAGGAGATTATTTATTTTTGTGCCTCAATAAAATGAAGATATAAAGTCATTATAAAGACTAGCTATTATTTTTATTGGAGGAAGATGATTAACAAGAGAATTTAGAGAGCTGTAGATAACACATCACTTTTAGATGATTTTTAGGAGACATAGATGTGATTTCTATCATTAAGTAGGAATGATTTAGAACATTAGTGAAGAAAAAATATTTTTAATGTGTACTTTAACAATGAGGATAGGTGTAAGCTAAAGATTAATGGAGGAAGTTCCATGAATAAAATATCCACTTAAGCATTTTTAAGGGCCAAATTAAATGTTAAGCATATCTAGAATCCTTTTATGTGATCTCACTGATACACACATCTCTTCCAGTAATTAGCAGATATATGATGCCTAACAGGGGAGTTATAAGTATCATATACTATATATACTCTTTGGTAGGCCTTAATTACTAATAAAAACATCATATATTATGATGGTGAGAATGCTTATGCATTTTAACTTAATAAGAAGAATATCAAACTATATCCTACAAAATAAACTAATAAGGTCAATCTGACACTTCAACCTAAGCACATATCTAACATGTAAGAAGACAACCACAAAAGAAGGGCCCCAAGATTAAATTAATTTTGATTTGATTACATACTGCTAAGGGATTCCATTACAATGTTGCCCATAGTATCATTGTACCCACTTAACAACTAATTATAACTTTTTAGAGTGTTTGGTTTAAGTGTTTAAATAAAGAGTTCTTTGATAAATCTTCTATTTACTTTCTTCATGTGAAGGAGCCCACACCTAAATCACCTAGGATTCACATACAATTTATATTACCCAATCTTTTACATGAGTGTTTAGATTTTCATTTAAATAACTTATTAGACGAGCTTCCTCCTATGAGAAATATACGATATGCAATAGATTATGACCCAGGTTCAATTACTAAATTTCTTACATTATAGGATGGACCCATTTAAATGTGCTAAGTTAATAAAATAAGTTTTTGGATAACTTTGGTTAGATTTCATTTAGAAAAGCCATAGCCCATGTGTTATCTCTTTATTACTAAAACCTAATAGGATCACTATACATTATAGATTCCCAATACCTAGTCTTAATGAAATGTTGGATCAGATCTTTAGAGCCATTGATTTTATAAACATTGATCTTAAGTGAATATATTCATATTAGAATTAGATTGAAAGATAAATGAAAATCAAAGTTATTCTAGTTGGACAATATCAAAATCATTCATTGATGTTAGGCATTTCTATGGCATGAATATTTATTATACACTTTAGCATTTTAATTACTCCAATTGCTAACATTTTAAAGAATGACAATCTTAAGTAGACTAATAGTGCTAAGAGGGGTTTTGATCTGATTAAGATTCTTATGAGTAGATCCTCTATTTTGAGATTTCGCAATTTCACTACATAATCTAATGCCTCATGAGTAGGCGTTGGAGGAATTTTGAGATAAAAAAGTTGACATTTAACAAACTTTTATAAAAGATAAAAGATCCTAGATAGAGATGTTCAATATATAATATTATTGTTTATGCTATCTTTGGCCCTCAAGCATTATAGACCTTATTTACTATGTAGAGAGTTCATTTTTAAATTCAAACCCATCAAGCCTTAAGGTTTACTAATACCTAGAAGGAGCTAAGTGAAATGAGGCAAGTTGTACTTATTTGGATGGAAGAACATTTTTGAGGTTGAAGTAATGCTTGTAATTATATATCCTTCCCATCGAATTAGGGAAATTACAAATTGAGGTGACCGGATAGGTGGCAGACACTATCCCCACTCATATCAGAATGCTGAGTCCAAAGTAATTATGCTAATTCCCTCATGATGAATGAATCCACTTTGGAATAGTCATGGTGAGGGATCATTGAAGTTTTTTTGGGAATGGAGTTCATCAATGATCGTTTGTAATTTATTTTGGAGATGATCGAAGCATCTTGCAACTTTCATGCAATCGCCAATCGTTGTTGTATGTGTCTACCATTGGGTACCATCTGGGAAACACTGGTACCGTTTGGGAACTATTGTCAATCATTAGGTACTGGTCGATACCTTTGGGTACCACATGGTACTGCTCGATACCCCTCGGTATTGGGGCTAGAATACATTTTTTCTGATCAACTACATCATATTTTTCTTGGATATATTCCAAAGATTAGTTTTTGTTGCAAAACATTGACATTTAGAGAAGTATGTGATCATTTAGTTGAAATAAACTACCAATTCACCCCCCTCTTGGTAGCCTTGGGACATTTACTTAGGCTTAACAACCTAATTACTGGACTCAACAAAGACTTTGTGGATAGATTGATGCAAAATCATCTTTATCATTTTCTTTTGATGCCTCACTACATACAAAATGTTCCATTGATTTATAGGTTGTTGTCATTCTGGGATATTAAGAAGCAATGCTTTATCATTATGGACCAAAAGTTACCATTTACCGCCAATAAAGTTTCTTTGATCTTAGGCCTATCGAATAGAGGAAACCATTTTGACTTGAGAAGTGTCTGAATCACAAGGAAATCAGCAAATGACATTAAGAAGAAGGTTCTTAGTTTTGATGACTCAACTCCACTTCTTGATGTAGTGAAGTAATTCATCATTTACTTGTTGTCAAACCTTTTATTTCCTCTGTGCAACTACCAAACACTAGCTACTATCCTCAGTGTAGCTCGTAATGTAGATAATTTTTTATCTTACAACTGGCCAAAATCAATTAGAGATTTCTTTATGGCTAAGTTTTATGCAATTGCTAAGAAGTTTAGAAAATTACAACCACTTGAATACTTGAATAATTTCATACAGATTATAATTGTGAGTACATAGAATGTTTTATTTAAATTTAAATGATTCAGAATCATTGATTTTCTTTTTTATGATGACAGCCTTCTATTTTGCTTGTAGTTATGATTTCTAGAGCACACAATAGTCCATACACTAGTGGATTCAAAGTCAAGACCACATTTTCTTCTATGGGGTTGTGATATAATTTATAGCAAAGTAGAGCCTACTAGTTTATTTGAAGGTCTCAAAGATGTAGATATATTACTTTCTTTTGACGAAATAACTAATGAGGAGAGGTCATTATTAGGAACACCTCCCTCTCAACCCCCATATGTATGTGTAGATCAAACATCCACATCACCTGAAATATTTCCCCACTTACAACTCACCTTATGCAAACATCACTTAGTTATTTCTTTACCATTCAGTCACCTACACCTTTCAAATCATCAAGCCTATTCAAACTAGCCCATCAAACACCCACATCCCCCAGGTCACTTGGACAGTAGCAACATACTTCCCCTACTAAACTACACCATGATAGCATTGAGGAATCCATCCGAATTATATTTGATTAAAATTAAATTCTTTAAAAAAGGTTTGTTCATCTCAAATAAAAAATGGCTCTAATTGAGCGATGAATGGTTGTAGTAGAACATAATGTATTCGAGCAGC